GGTCTTGATGGTTTGATCCACCGGTGCACCGGCCTTAACAAGAATGATAATGACACGGGGCTTTTGGATGGAGAGAACAAAGGACTCGGGATCATGAAAACCATACAGAGGGAGCCCTCCTTCCGCTTTAGCCCGTTCAACGGTCTCATCGACTTTCGAAGTGGATCTGTTGTAGACCGATATAGGGAATCCTTTCTCGGCTATGTTAAGAGCGAGATTTTGCCCCATTACAGCAAGCCCAGCAAGACCAATTCGTGTTGGGGTCGCCATACTGTTCTTCCTGTAATCGGGAAAAATAAGGCTTTAATTTTAAAGTTTGCAAGATGCAGGAAAATTTGGGGCAATGAAACTTCAACATATCTAACAACTCTTTTTTCCCAGAACCCAGAACCCTCATTTCACATCCACATATGCCTGCAACTCTTAGGATAAAGTCTATAATAATTATGAACTTTTACCAATCAGATACTATAAGAGTGAAATGAAGTATGTGCAATAGATCAGGTAAGCATAGAAAGGAGGATTTGCAATTTAATGTGAGTAGATTTCAGATCCAAACAAATCAAAAACAAAGGAGAACAAAAACATTAAAAAGAAAATAAAAATTGGGAAGAAGAATTGGAAAGTAACAATATTGATCAAACAAAGCAGATAGAAAAGGGCTTCAGAAACCAACAAAAGAAATCCATCAAATATCACAGTAAAAAGTTCAAATTGAGTTATACCCAAAAAAATATACATTTATGTAATCACACACTTGATTGCTTCCAATCTAGCAACCCCGATGATCATAGATCAAAGATGAGAGAATCAACAGAACAATCTGGAACAAGAAAACCTAAACTATTACCTATAATCGCTTCCAAAACTTGCTAAAAAGTGCTCAGAATATGAAATCAAAGTAAAATAAATGAATCCCAGAAATATTAAAGATTTGGGTATAACAAAATCAAGATCAATTTGTATATAAATACTGAAAACAAGGGAATTTTCTTCTTGTGTATGAACACTGGTGCATACGCGGAGACGAAAATTGACTCACCTAATAGTTGAAAATGTTTGGAGTTGAAAAGGTGGAGAGCGTTGAGAGAGATGAGGGGAGGGGCGTATCTTCTTCTTCTCCTTATATAGGTAGTCAAGTCAAATTAGTACAGCTTCTCGGCCTTCTCCACTACAGCGATTCAGCGAAGAGCTGCTCGTTTCTTGGCGGTTGGTGTCCGTACCTACCTTTGTTTAAGGTACTATGTACACAATAATAATTTTTTGGAATAAGAGTCAAATAGTTCATCTACCTATACACCGGACTACAATTAAGTCACTGAATTTAAAAAAGTATACTCTGTAATTGAGTTATTGAACAACGCAAATTCATGCAATTTAACCTAAATAACTTATTTACATGTTAATATGCTGACGTGTCGATTTCTTTATTTAAAATATTTTTTAAAATTATATTTTAATAATTTTAAATAAAATAATTATTTTAAAATTAAGAAAAAAAAAAAAAAAAACCTCCATAACTTGCCAGAGACGAAGGGGTCCGCAATCGTCTCCGGGATGCTAGTTGGTCATCACCTTCTCCAGTCACGAGAGAAGGAGACCAAACTGGTTGCCTTCTCCAGCAAAGGATAAGGTAGACCAAACCATTTGGTCTCTGCCTTCTCCTTCGCAGGAGAAGGCGATCAACCGACACTGGCGATCGTTTTGCTAGTGTTTTTAGTTGGAATATGGTCGGAGGTTCGTCGGAGCTCTAGTGACCTGTAATTACAGGTCACCGGCCAATTTATTTCTGGACATCAATGCTCTAAAATAATATATTTAAGGACTTAATTGTAATCTTTAAAATTTTAAGAGTCTAATTGACTTATTGATTAAAGTGCAAGAGTCTATTTAACCGTTTCTCCCAAAAAAAAAAAAAAAAGATTAGTTAAAAAGTTGGTATTGTTTGTCAAGACCAAATTAATGTGTGCATTAGTAGAACTTAGAAGAGGGAGTAGGAATGCATGACGATTGTTAAGGTGGATAACAGTGACAAGTTGAATATAGATAAGAGGTAGAATACAATGAGAAATTTTTAATATAACTATATTTTGTAAGTTGTATCATATATTATTTTTTGGTGAGTAGAAAAAATAATAGTTATTATGGGAGGGTGTATACTAGATAAATCAGACTTCTTAATAATAATCTGTAAATCATACATGAAAAGTAAACGTCACTAAAAAAAATATTTGTGACAAATTTGCCAAAAAAATGCTAGCAAAAATAAAAATTGTATAAGACTGAGTTTAATTTGATTTGATTTCAGTTGCTACTAAAAATGAATAACTAGATTAAATCTAAGTTTAATTTATTTAAAATTGGACTATAGCAGTCTGAATGTCTGAATTGACTTAATTAAATTAAAACTTATTATTGTATATATTGATTTAATATTAAGTATTTATATAATTATTTTATATCCCCACACCTGCAGAAGAGGGAGAATGACGAAACTGATAGGAATGCATGACAGAAACCAGCATCCTCGTCAATTGGAAGTTTTTTTTTTTTTTTTTGTTATTATTATTATTATTATTATTATTATTTTTTTATGTTTTTGTCAAGTCATATATGAAGGAGAGTGGAGAGAAAAAAAAAAGTTATTCAACTTAAATATTATTAAAGTAATTATCTTTACAAATCATTTGTAAATCACACAAATTTCATTCAAAATTTAGTTATACATTATTGAAAAGAGTATAAAAGATATAGGTCCTATTTGGTAAAAAATTGGCTTATAGGCCAATTTTGGACATAGCAGTCTGAATTGACTCATAATTGTATACTCAAAGGTCAAAAGTGTGCACTTAAAGGAAGAAACTATGCACTAAGACCAAACATATGCACTCGAACAAAAAAAAAAAAGCAATTGAATAAGAAAAAATGTTCACTCGAAGAAAGAAAAATATGCCATCAGAGACAAAGACCATATGAACTTATACAAAATAACCATAATGCTACTGCATTTTTTCTGCATTCTGGACGTACTATTAATTGGGATTAGATCAATGGACAATAGCTGGAATTTAACCCTTTTTTTTTTTTTTTTTAATCTAAGCCCCTCATTCGCATATGTATGATGTTTTCTTCAAATTTGATTTCAATTACCATGCTACTAAAAATGAATAACTAAATAGAGAAAAAAAAATGAATCTAAATTAATATTAACTAATATTGGACATAGCAGTCTGAATTGACTTAATTAATAAAAACATAAATTATATGGAGTAGTATATTGATTAGTTATACAATTATTTGATTATATGCCCCACATTTAAAAGTGAATGGAAACAAAAAATGGATGGTTGGTGGAATGTTGTTAGGTGTGGAAAATGGTGAAGAAGTGGGCTTCTTCATGTTATGTTAGAAAACTAATCAATATACTACTCAAATGGTAAAGGGCCAAGTTCAATACCAAATCACGAGCTATAACTATTAACGTAGTAATAGGTGATTGGTCGTAACAAGTAGTATTAGAGTCAAGTTATGAGTTCGAGTCCCAGTAAGAATAAAAATAGGTTGAAGGGCCAAGTGCAACACCTTACCTCTAAAAATGTGACCGTATAAAAAAACAAAAATGTGTCTTTGGTATTAGGAATATGACGTAGTGGCAAGCGTTTGATCCTAAGATAGACATTTGGCCCTGTTTGGTAAAATGGCTGATAGTTGTTAGCTGATTGTGTTAATTAGAGGGTATAAATAGTTAATAACATTAACTGATTGTAGAAAAATGTTTGGTAAATTAGCTTTTAGCTTATAGCTGTTTGGTATAATTTCTTTTCTCAAAAAGCTAATTGAAAAAGTTGTTTGGAGTAGCTTTTTGAATTTTAGCCGTTTGGAGTTGCAAAAAAACTAATTAACCAAACATTTATATTCATATTTAACTAAATCAAACAATTAATAGTGGTCAAATAAGCCAAAATTGACCTATAGGTTAATTTTTTTTACCAAAGGCCATTATATGTGTACAAAGTTTTAGTATTTCATATTCATGTATAAATTACATTTAAAAAGATATTATTATAGCCAACTATTATATAGTATGAAGACACATCTCTTAAAGAATTATTCATCTAAATAATTATTCTCTCTCTGTATATTATATGGCAGACACGGTGACGGCCTGACCATGCCACCTAGACTAGTTCATACAAAATGAAATACCTTTGTTCACATGCATGTCTGTTTCTATTGCAGAAAATAATTGAGTTGCCTTTAATTTTGTTTTGTTGTTTTTGATTATATGTAGTTTTTAAATGCTTCGCACATATGACAACAACCTTATTTAATAAGTACCAATAGAATGAATCCTTTGTATGCCCATAAAAATTAAGGTCTATTTTAGGGTTGATTGGACGATTTGCAATTTATTTCTGCAGTTATTTTAAAATCAGAATTTTGTGATTCTTAGGATTAGTTAAGTCAAACTAAGATCATCTAAACATTATTAAAAAAAAAAAAAAAAAAAAAAAGAGAGAAAAGAATAGTCTCTCAAAAAGAATTGTCAAGTAGATAAAATATAATTATCGTACTTAAAAGTTAAAAGTCACGAGTTTGATATATTGTCACTATCAATTTTTATATTTTAATTTTCAATTGGATCATAAATGATCATTTGACTATTGATCTTTACCAATTTTCGTCATCAATTTTCAATTCAATCATAAACAGTTCATTAACTATTATTTTTTTTCAAATTTGAGCATCTAGTTAAATATCATTTTTATAAACATTAAATTTAATGATAACTCAATTTGTCCATCTCAACAACATACTAATTTTTACATTATTATTTTTAAATTTAATGTTTATTAAATAGATATTTAACTGAAGAACCAAATATGGAATAAAATTAATAGTCACGAGACCATTTAAAGTCATATTGAAAGTCAAGAATAAAAATTGATAAAGATCAATAGTCAGTCAGGGGAATAAAGGATCATTCCTGATTTTAACACTATTAAAAATGTTAGCAATCCATTTCATGTTTAATTCCTAACTCATCAACTGCAAAGAAAATGTCTTTCACAAAGGAACCATACAAACTACTTACACAGCTTCATATCTCTAGAGCTTGCTTATTGAAGCTACTATACACCGCGCCCTTCAAGATTCCATTATTCAGCTCGATTTTCTTGTTTTCCATCTTTCTTTTTTTCGGGTTTTCGCTATATATGTTTTGCTAGCCTGCAAGACAAATTACAATGCAGCCCTGAGTCCAGGTTTGTGACTGATGCATACTAAATCATCGACATTCATATAAATCAAATGCAGAAGGTATCCATGGCAAGCATGGTGGTTAATATCGATGAATTCAAACCGTAAGAAGAACTATAGACGCTATCGCTAGGAAAATAGAACAACATCAGGGTCACAATCAAGTTTGGAGTTGGGGACAAATGTTATTTGTGCTTGGTGAAATGGCAAGAGTTCAAGGTTATTGATCCTATACACCCCTCCGGCCATATCTCATTTTACAACCTAACAACCAGCAATTAGACAGGCGTTATTAACACTTCTCTTTGTACATATTGACCATAAAAACGACCAATGTTGCAGAAGGTGATGGGCGCTAGTCTGGCACCTGGGCCAATGTGAGCTGTTAGACTGTTATAATTCCCTAAACTAGTCAACTACATATGTTAGATTGTTCCTTGAGTACCTGACTAGAGGAATATGAAAGAGGAGCGACAACACACATACGAGGGAATTAAAGAAAAAACCATTTGGCCGAGTTGGGTGCCTAGTCGGCAGGCCAACTAAAAGCCACCTAGGGCTGAAATCCCCTCGACCTATGAGGGCCTAGTACAACTCTGCCAATGACTATGGAAAGAGTTCAAAAATGATATGCAATTGAAGCAGAATTTTCTCCATGTGTAATTGCAAGTGAATTGGTAAGACATAGTTTAATTGAAGCACGTGCTCCATCTCAACTAAAAGCCTAAGCTGATAGTTGGATCATTAATGGCTATATGCTCAACAAGTTTGCCTTGACTTGCTTCACCTAAGGGTGTAACAATACATCTACTCCCCATTTTACCCAAACTCCATCTAAAGTTCTCAGCTACCAGAAAAATATTTGCAGTCAAATTGCAGGAACAAAAAGAAACTATGAAACAAGGGAAGCAATATCTCACAAAGAAGCATGAATAACCCACACGAGAAAACGTAGAGAAGCCAAACAAAATAGTTAATCTGCAACAAAATTTTCAAGAAAATTGCAGAAAGAAATAGTAATTGCCTAAGCCCAGAAACAAATACCCCATAAGAATCACATGAATTAACCAAAAACGAAAGAGATACCTGGGTAAAATCCATTTTGGGGCCATAGGGTAAGGGAGAATCAAGAAAGCTCCTTTGCATTTTGGAAGAAAGCAGAAGAGCAGAGAATTGAAGCAACGAAGGCGAAAATTCCTAACCCAATCATGAGAGAGAACCCAGCAACCACAAAGTCCATCAAGCAATGCAAGCTTATTCCCATCAACATCTTCACTACACTACTCTCTGAGTCTCTGTATATGTCTATGTTTTTCCTTCTCAAAATATGAATGAAATCTTAATCTGAAAATTGGGTCTTGTCTACATTTTCCTCCATTAAATTGTCATATATAGAAGGTGGCGGTGGAGGCTGGGAAGGCGACGGAGAGTTGCAGAAACGTCTTGGTAAGGTGGGCACATAATCGGCTTACTGAAAGCCTCATCAAGCGGTCCAACCAAAACGTATTTCATGTCTATATGACGTGCCATCATAAAGGAGAGGGCTTATTTGGAAAATACCAAACATTTGTATTATTTGTATTTTGTTACGATTTATTAAAAAAAAAAAAGTCAGATAAGCATCTGAACTTTATACAAAAAGTCAATTAAACTCTTAAATTTTTAAAATTTATAATTAAGATTAACATGTTATTTTCATACATTGAAGTCCAAAAATCAATTATATATTGACTTGTAATAGCATGTTACTAGTACTTCGATGAGACTCCAACTAATTTCGACAATCATTATTAGCGATTGACTAGCATTGGCACTTATTGACAATCAGCGACACCTCGTCGATCGCCTTCTTTGGTGAAAAAAGTGACATACTGGTCACCTTCTCTATCGAAAAAGACGATGACTACCCGTTACTCACCCTTCTTCAAAGACAACCAGCCACCGTTTGTCAGTAGTGGGTGGTTGATTTAGTGGCCAGAGCTAGCTGGAACGCTAGTGACCTGCTATTACAGATCAATAAAATTGAACTTCTTGACTCATGGGTTTTATCAAATTCTCCTGACTAGCATTGACACTCATCGCCTCGTTACTATTATATCCAACACTTCCTAAATTCATATGCCCAGTTTGAGATTCATGCCAAAAAAATTTGTCAACATCTTGTATGGGATCAAGGGTACTAAAACACCAGACTCGATGTTGTTAAAATCTTCATTAAGACCTGTTAGGAAAGGTGATCTTCTTCATGTCCTTCCTAATTTAATTAATGAGATCACATGTATATCTAAGACTACACTTACAAATTAGAAGAGGTCTTAACGCGATCAGATCTCATCTCCTAGAGTATTAATTTACACCGAGTATAGTAATCCATTACATTCAAAATTTCCTATTTGCAGTTGTAAATCTCATCTTGAAGTTCTAAGATCCTGACCTTTATAAAACACGTTATTTGGTTAACCATCATTAAAAGTGATTGAAAATAGTAATCAATTTTTGACTACTCCTGAGATGGTATATATGAAAAGTTAAAAAGTTCACTAATTTGTTTTTTTTTTTTGAGTGATAGTAAAAAGTGGTGGGTAATTGGCATTTTTCAGCAATGAATTCTACTGTATGGAAAGATAATATCATATCAAGGTGGTGATAGGAATTGAATAATGTATGTATATATTTGTGGAATGATATATCCAATCCGGAAAGTATACATATTCTAGGATGTGCCCTGGAGAGCTGATGGGTGATGCCCTGCTCACTAAATGTTAAAGCACAGTTGCTGGATCTTATAGTGGGTTGCCTTTTCAAATGTTTATAGAAGCTCTTTGAATTATGAGCCACTATCAACAGCATATCCACCTCCATTTGTCTTCTTGTTTGTGCTATCTTTACTGTTCAAAGCAGCCTTGTTGCTGACCTTATTAGATTCATTCAGGACCACTTGATTTTTTTAGAATACATTAGCTTTCATAGCTTACACTAAATTAATTTTAAACCCTCAAAACTTCTGTCCAATGGTACTAGAATAGGTAAATCGCGAGTCGCTCGATTAGTCATCAGTTTCGGACCCCATCCTCTCACACTGAAAAAAAGACTTTTAGAGTGACCCCTTGAAGTGAGCTCACAGAACAGAACCACTTACATTTTCTATTACTTTTCATCTTCTTCTAACCTGGTTATTTTACAAGTTTGGAAATGGATAATATAGTGCATATATATAGTGTGCAATGGATTTGATTTTTCCAAGAGTTAATTTTTTATTTATTTTTTATTCTCTTGGACATAATCATGATATGTTTAGGTATATATAGTCAATGATTTTTAATTTTAACATGTTTAATCTATACTCACAAGTCACAACATTAGTCATTGCCCATTGGTATGTAGTCAATGATTTTTAATTTTAACATGCTTATTCTATACTCATACAACATTATACATTGGGTCTAAAATATTTGAGACATTATCACATGTATGTATGTAAAAGAATGGAATTTGTGTTGAGTATAAAATATATAAAATATGAAATGTATACTCTTACTGTTTTAAATTTTTAGTTGGAATGGAACGTTTCAAAAATATCAAGTCCACACATGTGAGAGTGTGTTGGCATAGACTTCCTCAATTTCATTTCACATGTGTATGTTATTGTTTATTATTAATTGCTCAAATAAAAAATTTTCTTTGATTATCTTTTAATATTTTTAAAAAAATTAAATTTAGGGAAAATTGTAATTTATGCCCCTCACAAATATGCCAATTATTAATGTTACCCCTGAATTATTATTGGTGTAAATGTTGCCCCTCAATTTTCAAAACGTGACATATATTGCCCCTCCCCTGAATTATTAGTGATGTAAATGTGGTTACCCGTCGTCTTTCTTATTCAATTTATCACATTTTTTTCCTCAATTTTCCTCTATTCGCTTGTTCTCCTTCCGTCGACAACAATTTTTCTCCTTCTTCCTATTAGGGGAGGGGCAATATATGTCACGTTTTAAAAATTGAGGGGCAACATTGACACCACTGGTAATTCAGAGGTGACATTGATAATTGACATATTTGTGATGGCCATAAATTACAATTTGCCCTTAAATTTATTTTCAAAAAAAAAAAATTTAATTTGTTTTTTTTTTTCTAAATATATAAATTTTATGTATTTAAACTAAACCAAATATTACAAAAAAAAAAAAATTTAATAGTAAATAACTTGATTCAAACCTTATTACTGGAACCATATATAATAGGACAAAGGGATGGAAGAGAGTACAAAATATTAAACCTTTCAATTTAATTTATTTTCTGATGAAATATTTATAGTGTAGGAATATTTTAGACATTTTAAAATTGAATTTGAAACAATATTTAAAGTAGATTACATACTGCAACCTCAATAGCAATGATTATTTTGTGGTTTTTGAGGTGTCAATTAGGAGAGAGATGAGGGAAAGAGAAGAAGGAAAAAGACAAAAAAAAAAAAATGTCTATCGGGAAAAAAAAAAAAAAAAAGCTAGAGTAATGAGCCTAACCGGGTGCTGTGTTGCGCCTCACACAAGGACAAAACGGATGCTTTTCAATTTTGGTGGGCCCATTTCAGAGACCATAAATCACTATTTGTAGGAGGCTCTCAGCTTTTCTCTCTCCTCACTCTCTTTCGTCCACTTCAATTAAATTTACCCTAAAAACTAAACAAAAATTACTATTGTGGTTGCTCTAAATTTGTCAAAAGTAGATGACTGAATATTAAATAAATGAAAGTGGGATTAACTCATATTTGTATTATAGGGAGTATTTTATTTTGGACATTTCATTTTGATCCACTTGATCATCCCACAATTGGTCTTAATGGGATTTTGAAGTGAATTGAAACAATCATGAAGTTTCTTGATTTCTCTGGCATATATGGACCCCGACCACTAAGATTATATTATTAACAATTTCACTTTCACAATTTTAATTTGTACAGCTGCAGATAGAATTATGCGGCGACAAGAGTGTTTGGAAATTTTTTATGCATAGAATTTAACTATCTATAGTTAATTAATATTCAATTTAGTGTTTGATTATAGTGATTTTTTTAATTAAGCTCTATATGACTTTTTGGTTTTAATTGGATTATGAACTAAGATAATTTTATCCAATTGTGTCTTGTGTTAGAATATAACTTGGTAAGTTTTTTCTCATTAGTATCCAATTTAGTTATCAAACCAACTATAATGATTTTACCTAATTTAATCATCAACTGTAGTAATTTTACCCAATTTACTCATTAATTATAGTATTTTTTTCTCCATTTAGTCATTGATTCTAACAACCAACTGAGACCGAGCATCCTAATTTAGTCATCGATTATAATGATTTTACCTAATGTCCTAATTTAATCATAGACTATATATAATAATTTTATCCAATTTAGTGCTCAATTATAATATTTTTTCTCTCAATTTAGTCATTGATTCTAACAGCCAATAGAGGCTGGACATCCTGATTTCGTCATCGACGGTTTTACCTAATGTGCTAATAGTTTTATCCAATTTAATCCTTAACTGCCGTGTTTTTCTCCGTCTTTGATTCTAACAACCAACCTAGACAAAATGACTCAATTAGGTAAAATGGGTCCAGAACCAATTAAGTATAAAAAATCATTTAAGACTAATCAACATAATTAAGCATAAAAAGTCAGACTAAATGAAGAAAAATCATTATAGTCAAAAACCATTTGTTATTGAACATTCCCATCTCAATTCATGGTTGTTGTCAGGTGAACAAAAACACAGCATCTCATATGGCCGGCATTCATCGGAAAATACTAAGGTAAACGTACAAAAAACAGCTCCGCTCGCTCGCTTCAAAATTATTTATTGAAAGTCCGGCCAGCCAGCTGGGAGCTGCGCCTCCGCGAGCATGCGGCGGAGGTCGGCGGCTTCCTCCTTGAGGCGCGCATTCTCCTGCACCGCCTTGTCGTGCCGCTCCGACGCCTGGTTTAGCTTGTCCAGCAGGCCGTGATTCTCCGACCGAAGGCGAACCACCTGCGACCACAGCTCGTCCAGGTGCCTCTGTTTCCTCATCCTCGACCGCCGCGCCGACTCTCTGTTGGATATCATCCTCCTCTGCCGCCTCTCGTTCATGATCCTAAGTTGGGTTTTGTCCGATGATTCGTCTGAGGTTGAGTTATTGCCGAAACACGACGGATTTTGGGCGAGCTCCGGGACGGCAGGGTGGAGAGATGTGTGAAAGTTATTAGGTAAGTTATTGCAGGTTAAGAATCTGGAGAAGTGGAAAGTGTTGTGCATGAAAGTGATATCAAGAGGGAGATGGGAAGAGTTTTCTGCAGAAAGATAGGTGATTCCCATGGTTTCAGATGGAATCATGGTGGGTTATATTTTAGTGAAGAAGAAGAAGAAGAAGAAGAAGAGACATACAGGTTTTTCTAGCTCTCAGATAGAGGAGCATGACATGAGAAGTGGCCTGCAGGTGAGATTATATAGGAGGAGAAGGGCACACAATTGAGTTATACCATTGACTATGGTCCACATTGTGGATTCTAGTCCAAAATAACATTCTGTAGTTCACATATTATATGCTTGCACAGATTTAACTGGTTCAGTAGACGGTATTTGAGGAAGAACCAAGATTTGAACCTCGACGTCAGCTTGGAAATTATGTCTAAAGTGGGCAGATCTCTTATACGCATCGGCATTTGGCACTGTATGTTGAGCCATTGAGTCACCGTGATTTACATTTTCCGAAATGCTCTGTCAAGTCGGAGTGTGGGAGGCCTTTAGGGTTGGGGATTCAACATTTTGGGAGGAGTTCACATGTTATGTGTTTTAGATAATAAATTGAAGACACATATAATATGATAACTGCAGGTACATAATTTATTAAATGCATGTACATAATATGTGTTTAGTTATATATGTTAATGAAGTTTGACTGGAGTTATTTTTAATTCAATTTTGCATAATGTTAAGTTTAATATTAGTATATAAAATTTAAATATTTAGAAATTAAACACAAAATATTAAATTTAAAAATATTTATAAAAAAAAAAAAAGTAAAGAAGAAAGTATTGATTTGACCCATTAATAGTAAACAAGACATGTAAAATGTGAAAGAGGAAATATGTACTTACAACACTTAATTATGTATATGCAATTAACATATTGTATCTGTAATTAATAAATTTTGTACTGCACTTAACATATTATGTGTCTTTAATTTATTTATAAGTTCATAATTTATTAACGAAATATACATAATCTGAATATTATTTTAGATTGGTACATGGTATAATTTGTCAAGGGCATAGAAGTGGACCACATTCAAGGTATTCAACAGTGCACAAATTAAAGGTAACAGTAGTAGTTTCTGGGCATGATGCATGCAAGTAAGAGAATTTATAACGTCCATGCAATGTGTTGATTGTTTATTTAGTGACTTTATATTCATCCATTGCAAAAGCTCCATATATGACTCATATGCCTCTTATTTTTAGTCGTTGAAATGACTAGTTAATTAAATCCATATATCACTACATGACCGCAATATAATATATATATAAATAGGTGGACACTCATAGAAGAATTGAATATTTTTTCATACAACCGCAATATAATATGTAAATATATTCTATAGTGTTCCAAAATGCACCATACAGCATTGTAAAATGCATTTTAAAATTTTAAATTATTTATCAAAATATCATTACGTTTTGTTCCCTGCTGCCATATGAAAGGCAAGAGGTTGAATTGAACAGTGTTACTATACAATAATAAGGAAAAGTTTGTGATAATGCCAATATTGTAATTATTTAAAGAAGGTTTTGTTGACGAAATTTGAAATTGCTTAAGGAATAGTATTTGATGATTATTTTCAGTATGATGACTCAAATGGCACTTCAGATGGGATAGATTAGGAGGGACCCGTGCATGAACAATATTGCATATTAGCAATAGAGTTATAGAGCTGACTTTTCAATGTTTAATTTAATTTCTACAACATAATTAATAAAATTACTCATCTCAAATTATATTGTTAAATATTTTATTCGGTATAAAACAATAAAATAGAGTGCAAATAAATTATTGTAATCTCAATGACTTTGTGGTCTAGTGGCATGAAATGACTCTCTCAAATGGGAAATCATGGGTTCGATCTCTAGTGGGAGCGATGGTTGAGAAAATAATAAGAATAATTATTAGAGGAATCATGACTATATAATATAGTATTGAATAATTATTAGAGGAATCATGACTATATAATATATTATTGAGCACTGTTGCAAAAATTTGCGCTGCTAAGCGGTCCCCGGGTGGAATTTTTTCAATATTGGTATTGAGTTAATATCCAAAATGGTCCTTATTCCCTTGTTCTTAAATAAAGGGATAATGGTCTATCTTTACTCCTAGTCTTGCGAAATTTTTCAATATTGGTATTGAGTTAATATCCAAAATGGTCCTTATTCCCTTGTCCCTTAAATAAAGGGATAATGGTCTATCTTTACTCCTAGTCTTGCGAAATATGAGATATATGAGATTGGTCTATTTTTTCTCTCATTCCTGCGAAATCTCTCTTTCTTTTACGAATTACTCCTAGATCTATTAATCAAATTTTATATTCACATGTTTGGGAGTAATTCATAAGAGAAATATGGATTTTGCACTTCGTATGTCTATGAGTAAAGAGATGTCAATATTAAAATTACTTAATTGTCCCTCTATTTAACACCAAATGGACATGTGAATCAAATTTTATATTCACATGTTTGGGAGTAATTCGTAAAAGAAATATGGATTTCGCATTTTGTAGGTCTAGGAATAAAGAGATGTCAATATTAAAATTACTGAATTGTCCCTCTATTTAACACCAAATGGATGGAATAACAAACAGAGGATTAAATTGAGCAAAAACACAAAAGTTTGGGACTACATTAGGTCACCAAAGTCGTCTAAGAAGAAATTGAGAAAAATCATTATAATCGAGTACCATTTTGGGTATTAATCATATAGTATTTGTTAATAGCATTTGGTAATTAAATTCGATATAGATATAAATAAATTAGAAAATAATTAAACTCAATTCATATGTTAATAAATGAATTGGTTAAATCTTACATTTCAAACAATTAAATCCTTAATCTTGCAATATAATATAGTACCACATCAAACTTCTTATCTTAATACTAAATTTTGTTGTATTGTTGATTTGTATAATGTGTTATGTGTATTGGTCAATGCTTACCCGTTTATTAGGAAATTGAATATCGTAAAATGGCCGGGGAAAGCTTCAGCTAAATTAGTCAGACAATTGACTTAGTAACTACAATGTTTTAAGTTCAATTCCCTATAGAGTTTGTTCATTAACTTTATTGATTTGCACCGATCAACTATGAACATTAACTTTATTGATTTGCGCTGATCAACTATGAACAATCTAGGCTGATTGTTTACCTCCTTATGATGTCTTACCAGCTAAGGTCGCAAGACGGACTTCATTTACAATACACATTCAGATAGCGAATTTTTTTGTAAAAGTGAATATCTACTGAAACACAAAGAACGAATAACGCCTCCATTGAAGCTCAAACTCACAACCTTCCAAATAGAAGTCCAACCTGGATACTATTAGACCACATAGTCTTGGTAATCCATATTTCACATTAATTATACATTTGGTCCACTTAATAAATATTTTTATTTTCGCACCTTGCAAGTAAATTGAGAATTATTGGCTATTTATAATTAAATTGTTAACACTTTATAAACTAACATGGAACATCACCAAAACCTGAAAAAGCACATTATTGCAAAGTGAAAGGAAAAGGGAACCTTATGATCAATGTACTAACTACTAACATGAAGGGGGGGACAAGTTCAACTTTCTTTCAAGTACATCAAAATCTTTAGGTGATCAACTACACAAATTTCATACGACATCTGAATTATGTCTAGTGAATTAGATAGCCTTCATAAAACCGTTTTGCTAACAATTAATGATGATAATATTTTTTTAATAGAAAGAAAAAATATATAAAAATGAAAAAATTTCAATTTTGGTCCACTGACTATTGGAGTTATGTTAATTGCAACACTTGACTTTCAAAAATGTTAATTTAGTACCTTGACTATGCAAATTCTATCAATTTTTGTCGGGTACATTATTTTCCTTCTTCGAGCGCATATTTTTGTTTCTTCAAGTGCATATATAGTTTCCCTTTAGAGACATGATCGAATATTTCTAGCATTTCGCGACCCACGCATACGTAATCTTTATACAAGGGTCGCAGAAAGCCCTGTACAAGGATCACAAATGACTTATTTTCTACTAGTGATAGCAGAGTTCATTTTAAAAGTGGTGTTATACAATGTATACTCCTAAGTTCTACCCCTTACTTTTACCCACTGATGTGACATATAATGATAGGTTATTTTCATCATGTGAGTTTCCATAAAAAGTGTTCACATCAAGAATTTGAGAGACGGTAGAATTTTGGAGTAGAAAATGAGAGTCAACATATTATTTTCCTTAATCCCAACTATTATGTAGTGTGATGATGACGTTACGATTACCATTCTAAATGAGTGGTCATAGGTTCGAACTCCGGTGGTGGGGGTTTAGATTCTTTGGGCTAAAAATGCTTGAGAAAGTATAGAATATATACTACCTTGTAAAGAATCATATGAGTATTTCAAAAAAAAAATATTATTTTCCTTAATGGCATGTTTGGTAGAGAGGAATTGCAATTCCTTTCCCACTTGATTTCAAGAAGTGGAATATTTCAAAGTTTGGTTGAGAGAAATTACAATTCCTCACATTTGAAGAATTGCAAATCACACATCACCCTAGGAATTGCAATTCCATTAAACGTGAGAAGAAAGTGATGGATATATTAGAAAGGGGCTCGGGGCAAACCGACCCGAAGAAGAGATATGATCCAGGAGGCTTGGGGTGTCCTGGATCTGGGCGACCCCGGCCCGGTCAACCTCGGTCAAGGTCGACCTCGGTTGGGGTCGACCTCAGCTGGGGGCAGCCATGGCCCGGGGGGTCTGTGGTGAAGGGCGGCCTCGGGCGTGTGTGCGTGGACCCGGTTAAAGGATATCCAACCGCCCACCATATTCTCATGGGGCGGTTGGAGGAGGCTTTGTTATAAAAATAACTCATCCTTGTCTTGTTCAGGAGACGCTTGATTCCTCTGTCTGAATATTACATTTCCTTGTAATTCTCCTACAAACGACTCCATGACCTATATTCTTTGTCTTTTCCCATTTTACTATTTATCCTTTATTATCGGGTTTAGTAATTCGGACTAACCCGGGTTAATTAAATCCATTAGAAAGTTTAGTTATTTTCCTTAATGGCATGTTTGGTAGAGAGGTCTCACCCAAAAAAAAAAGGTTTGGTAGAGAAGAATTGAAATTCTTTTCCCACTTAATTTTAAGAAGTGAAAAGTTTCATAAT